GGGGGGCGATCGAGCCTCCCCCCTGCGGCGAGTTTTCATCGGGTTTGGATGGTCGTCGTGCGGCGGCGGGACTTTTTTTATTGCGGTGGGACGGCGATGGAGCCAATTTTTTTTTCATTAAAGGAATAGACACATTTTTTTTTCAATTAAAGGATTTTATCAAAAGTCTGGACTTTTTAATAACTATTTTATTTAACCCTTTAGTGATTGGTTAGGGTACTCATTCACAAGGGGGGTGCGACATCTGGGTGCCCCCTTAAGTAAAGGGGTACCCCGATGCAAATAAGCCCCCTTTCCCGCAGACCCCCACAACCACCGGGTCAGGGTTGTGGTGAAGAGGCCATTGTCCCCATTGGCATGGGGACACCCACCCAATGCCGAGGGAACGTGGCACGGTAAGGCGCAGGGAGGGGCCAGTGCTCAGATCAAGGGTCTGGTAGGAATGTTAGGGGACCCCATGTTTTTTCCCTCATTTTATCGGTCTGGTGTTCCCCCTTAAAATTCCTACCAGACCTAAAGGGCCTGGTATAGATTTGGGGGGGAACTCCACGCACTTTTTTTTGTTTTAACTTGGGAGAGGGTCTCTCTTAACATTCCTACCAGACTTAAAGGGTATGAATTGGGGGGGAAAACCTCATAGCCGAAAGTGCCATTTTCGGCCGGCGCCCCCCCCCTTCACTTTTCGCCCGGGGCCCGCGCCCCTGCTGCCCCCCCGGTTACGCCACTGCACAGCGCCCTGTGTCTCATAGCAGGAAGATACATAAACACAAACTGACCAAACTAGCAAGGACCTGCTTCCATGCTTGGCATGGTCAGAATGAAACAAACAAGAAGATGAACTGGCAAGGATCACCAGGAATTTCAGGGCAAATGATCATAAAGAACAGAGTACATTTACTGACATAACAAACATGTGGTAGGAATTTCAGGGATAATTCAATTTCTTAGTAAAACCTACAGCGACAGAGGTGAACAAGGCCTTGCTTAAAAGTGCTCAAGCATGTTCTGAATATGTAAATTCTTTCATGTGCATAGTTATGCAATGGATCCATTGCATTGCAACTTTCTATACCCTTTTATAAACTAAAAAGGATCTTAGGTTTCTCCAGTACTTGGATTCTGACCTTATGTATAGGGCCACCTACTGGTGAAATATGGTTTGAAGGAACCTTCCATTACTACTAAAGCTGGCCGTACACCTATAGATTATCTGCAGATTTTCTATGGTCAGATGGAAAAGTGCGACAGATTCTTCCATCTATGCTAAACTGTGTGGATGGAGGAATCTCCCGCGGGGCCAAGCTTCAGTATCTTGCTAATCACCCTGCTGGCTCTCCAAATACCTGATTGGATGCAGGCATTGTTCAGGTATTTTGAGAGCCAGTGGGGCCGACTAGCAAACTCAGCCCAGTGGGAAATTCCTCCATCCACACAGTTTAGTGTAGATGGAGGAATCTGTTGCACTTTTTGCATTCGACCATAGAAAATCTGCAGGTGTATGGCCAGCTTTAGGCTTCTTCAATGAGGGTGGCTTGATCAGGCCTGCCTGGCAGTTTTTCAGGTGGATCTGATCAGAAGCCCAATATTAGCTTATGGGCAGTCAGAGCGTATGGGCGTGTGTCCATTTACATCCAATTACTCCCGACTCCAGCCAGGTCCAGAAAACCCAGAACAGAGTTGTCTTGGCGGACCATGTCCGTTTACATCCGCCTCCCCATAGTCCTAACATGGGTTTGGCAAGATCAGTTTGACTCCATTGCAATATGGAGGAAAAAATTAAAAATAGGACACAGATGTCACAATGGGGACATACATGCTGAATTGCTCTGATCAGCAAGGGATCATGTGTAAATCCACTGCCGTCAGAAAGGAGACCCCCTGTGTGAAAGGGGCCTTATTCAATTATGTAGTACAAAGTGCATTAACAGTATAAAAAAAAATGCCTAACCCTTGTGGGTTTAAAATGCTTGGTAGTCTTTTTGCATTCACGTTCCGTTTAGACAAATCCTTTCGCCTGGACTACTCGGAGATCCTCTCTAGCATCCCTGACAAGGCACACATTTACCAGTTGCGATCTTTGCTCTGCAGCCTGCTCTGTTCGTACAGAATTTTAGGGAGTAGTGTCCGGGTACTGATCTACACTATTACCAGTTATTCTAAAAGGATGTTAGCTTTGTTGGGATGAGCAGGTACCACCAGTAAAAGGTATTCAAGACCAGGTATGAGCTGCACAGTGAAGATCACAGGGATGTGCAAAATGCACTTGTTAAAATAAGTAGGGCTATACTTAAACAGTGCAGAGCATCCACACACCTGGATTTGCCTTTATCAAAGTGCTACCTGCAGAATTCAGTTGGAATGTTGCAAGTTAGAGCATGTTACTACATTTTAAATAAAGTAAGTATGACTTGACCTGCTGAAATATAAAAAGGACATAGAAACCTAAACATGTAATAATTCAGACACACGTGGGGAAGTAATAATTCAGACACACGTGGGGAATAATTCAGACACACGTGGGGAAGTCTATCAATAAAAATTAGCATCACATTTAAATCCAAATCAGGCTGCCTTAATTTAGCAAAGTCTCTGCAATAATTTAGCAGGCTATTTGCAACCCTACATCTGTATTTCTGGCCAACTGTGAAAGAATAAAGTTCTGGGACAATGTTATCACTGTAGAGAATGATTATCCCTCTAAACAGGCACACAAGTGGTTAGGGTTCATTCTCTAGCAGTACCACTTTGGAGCAGTAGAGGGTGGAATTTGTGAAATCAAGATGAAACCTTGTAGTAAAATGTGTTGTATAAGCAGTCTCATCACTCCTATTTAGCATTGCCTTGTTGTGCAACTGGATTTTTGTTGTTTTTAAAGCCTGGTAGTGTTGGCAATCTTTGATATGAATGCATTTAGGGTTTCAGAATCTGACAATTTGGCTCTTTTACTAAAGGAGTAGGGCAGGTTTACCTTGCTAAGTGAATCTTTTAGCTTAGTGAATGGGGTGGAGCTGGGTTGATTGCAATCCAATTTTGACTTTGCCTCAACTTTAAGCCAAGTAAAATTTTACTTTGCAAAGTGAACTCTACTCCTTCGGGGGAATCAACCCAATTCTGCTAATATAGGATGACCATTACCAAAACCAAGGGGCAGATTTATGAAAGACCAGCTGTTCACTCTGGAAGGGAATTTGCACTAGTCTGCTGATTGCCATCACCCAATGTGCAAGTAAAAATACTGTTTTGTGCAAATGATTGGGGGGTACACTTTACAAAGTGAAATTTGCACCACATTCATGAAGCTTAGGAAAACGTCCCCTGCAAAGAACAGTATTTGCCTTTAGTAAATCAATCTCCAAGGGCCCAATATACTAAAGTGTAAAGTAAAGCTCTGTTGACATCGATATTGCAGATATTGGATGCTGCTGCAAAATGACATTTGAAGTGATTTTACACAGACAAAGTTATATACAAAAGTTTAATTGAAATACTTGTATAAAAAATATGATCTCCATACATTTCACACTGTTAAAAGAAAAAATACAATAAAAATAATAAACAAGCTGCATAAAATGCAGCCAGATCACAAACACAGCTAATAAAATAAATTAAGGTTATGACTCTGCCACTTGCCCTCCCAGAGTCACTGCATGGAGACTGTATAATGCAAATAACTTAAAAATCTTGTCAAAAAGCATTTTACATTTCTGGTAAAACAGACAAAAAAAAAGGCATAAATAACCAACTTTTTAAGTCAGTCAATTCTGTGTTCCTTAAATTAGACTTTTTACAATAATTACCATCTAAAAACAAACTTGCTAGAGCCATGGAAAGGAAGGTGAGAATAGTAAAGGGGAGAAAGTTAGAAATAAATAAATATAGATCTATAGATATATCTATAGACATATAAATGACTGGAATGCAGAGTTAGCTTCTCCGAGAAGATTCCATTGGGAAAGGTAATAGAGGCCTTCAAAACAGTGTGAAGCACAGTGTTGAGTAAAATCTAGACAAATAAATTAGCCAAATAAATATTAAGAAATAGTCTAAATATCGCAATAAATAACTGTATATTACAAGGGAAAAACAAGTTTAAATACAGATATGGAAAAAAAAAGAAAAAGTCCTTGAATATTGCATTGGTTGTGCATTTAACGTGCCCATACACACTTAAGACTTGCAGGAGGACATGGTTTTGGAGAATGGAAGATAAATGGTCCTGTGTTGCCCAGTGGTAGAGATGAAAGTGGAATAAATTATGTAGGAGATGGTAGAAAAAAACCACTGCATTCCTGTTGAAAATTACAGTACAGGCTGCATGAAGTACTTTGCGAGAAATGGTCTATAAATACTAGCAATCATGCCTCAACCACTAAAAAGGTTGGATTGCCCAAGTCACTAGATGTGACCGATACAGGCAGAGCTGTTTGCACTATGAAAACAGGCAAGGCCCATGGTAATGGATTTTCTTTGGACATACACAGCCCCAAATGGAAGAAAAAATAAAAACCCCACACACGCTAAACAGAAAAGTCCCACTTAAGCAGCTTTCAAAAAGGCACTCAAAAGCAAATAAAAAAATCTAGTCCAGGCTCTATGAGAGCAAACAGTATACTATGTACTCAAGAGGTCACTGCTTTTTCTTATGTAAATAAGGTCAGTCTATTTGTGTAAGCATTGGCCTACAACTCTCAGATCATCTTGTCCAAATTAAGTCTCAATCCAGGGAGATTACCGCAAAATGCTGACAGAAAATAAAAATTCCTGTATAAAGATTTGACTATAGAGTAGTGAATGTTTACGTCCCTCCTCGGTAGTTATTGGCAGCAGCAGCACAACTTTCTGCTTCACACCCCCACCTCCCACTGAGTTTCATCTTCACAGACTCTCGTTGCTTGAACTTGTGCTCGATGTGTCAGTGTCAATTGTCCTTAGTCTTAAATCACAGTCCTCAGATTTCTCTAGATCACACTTGCACATCCATGGATGATCAAAAATCTGTTCAAGTGTTGGTCGGTCAGAAGGCCTCAGGGAAAGGCACCATTTGATAAGTTGTTGGCACTCTAAGAAAAAAAAAAAGAATTAAAATTATGATGCACGACTGTTCAGACCAAATAGATAGCTACATTATAGTCAAAATATATAAAATCAATAGTTTTACACACCTGGGGAAACTCTTCTCCTGAAGAATAAGCGGACTCTTAAAATTTCCTCATCTTGCTCAAAAGGGATATCTCCGCAAACCATGTCATAAAGAAGAACACCCAATGACCACACAGTTGCTGATCTTCCGTGATATCGGTGGTATCGGACCCATTCTGGAGGACTGTATACTCTTGTTCCTGGAAACAAAAACCAGATTCAATTTAGAAAAGGGTCACACGAGGTAAACAAATACATGCTAGAAAGGTAAAAAGGACACTACAATTAACTGACCCTCCCCCATTCTACTGCAATGAACAGCACTGTATGCATCAGCTGTTTACTAGGCTCCCTTTCAAGGACCACGTGGCGTCTGTAGCACAACTCCAAAAATAGACACAAAAGGGAGGGTGTGCATGAGGGGGCGGAGGGGAGCAATCCTATCGCTCTTTGCTTGGAAAAAAAGATATTTAGCTGTAAGACAGTAAAAGGCATTGTTATCCCCACCCCCTCCCCCCATCCTGTGTGCAAAGGCACATCATATATCCCTTGGTTCTCTACTGTTCCTTGGATACCAAACAAAACCTTGGATCTGCAGAGCGCCCGGTCACGTGAGCTGGAGCTTTGGGTTTCACAACAAACAGATGTGAAATGAGGAGGCAGCTACAGTCATCTTGGAGACTTACGCCCACAGCAAGGAGGGGGGGGGGGGGGGAACATATGCACACCCATCACTCGTTTTGTGCCAAGAGTTACATATCTTATTAATCCAGGCTCCCACAGCATATAGAAAGAGAAAACCCACAATTCAGATACAGAAAAGGTGTACTTCAGAGCAGAGGGGCAGTGGGTGAGCCCCAATGATAAGCAAGGACATATGTAAAAATAAATAATTTACTTAGTTGTTTAAAAGACATTTGGCATACCATCTCTACAAAAGATTGTAGAATGCACCAACTTTACAGGCAGCTGTATAAGCTTTCAAAGATGTTACAAGCATCAAAGGTACCCTAGAGACACTTGGCAAGGGACCACTACTACACAGCCATCAAACTACTTCATTTATGACAAAAACATGAAAGCAAGCCATAGAAGGGGAAAAGAATGCAGTCCCCCACCCACACATCAGCATGGAAAGTATGGTGCGTCACGCAGGAATCGCCCCGCACTGTGCAGGGATCAGACAGGGGAGGGGCTGCGGGGAAATCAGAGGGAATTCAACGCTGCAGATGAGCAACAACCACATCCTAGCAGGTCAGGGGGGGGACAAACTCCCAGCTGAAAAATCCAAATCAAAACATACCATCAAAATCCGTGTAGACTGTATCCTTCAGCAGCGCCCCAGAGCCAAAGTCTATGAGCCTGAGTTCTCCAGTCCTCAGATCCACTAGCAAGTTCTCGTCTTTGATGTCTCTATGAACCACTCCACAGCTATAGCAATGTCGTACAGCCTCCAGCACCTGGCGGAAGAAGCCCCGGGCTGTGTCCTCATCCAGAGCCCCCTTCTCTGTGATGAAATCAAACAAGTCCTTTACCGGCTCCGGCCTCTCCATGACGATGAGGAAGCCATCTGCTCTCTCGTACCAATCTAGCAGCTTAATAACGCCTCGGAAGCTAGAGCCGACTTTTTTCAGCAGGACGATCTCCAAGGGCACCATGACTCCATTCTGGGGAGAGATGTACAACATTGGTCAGACTTCGCTCAGGATACACAACATCCCCTCCCCCCACATGGTACACTGCCACCTTGGGTCAGAAAAGGACAATTAGGGAGAACAAGGGTGATCCAAGTTTAATCCACAATTGCTAGGGAGGAGGGAAAACCTGCTATATCACACTCTATCCCACCCACTTACACAGAAGTAAACACTAGATTGAAATGTGACACATGATTCATTGCTTCCACTAGTCATTAGGAACCACAATAAATAGTCGCTGACATTACAACACCTCGGATACTCACCAAGGTTCCCCAATCTGTCACTCTGTCCTTAGAAACATGTTTCACAGCAACCTAGGAGAAAAAACAGGAGAGCTGTCAGCAATGTCATACAGGGTGGCACGCTACACATTCATGTGCTGAAAAAACAGCGGGGATACACCATGCCATGATCAAATCAGCATACACAGAACAAGACTGATCCTTCCATGTCACCCTTCCCTCCAGGACTAGACACCCATTATTTCATGAACACAGGGCTTGACAGTCAGACCCTGTCCTTCCATATACACAGAACAGGAGGGCTTTCCTACATACACAGTGATAGACCCCATCACTCCAGGTCACCATTCCCACCTACAGAGCTAGACACAGGGATAGATTCCATCCCACCCTTCCCTATACACATACAGGGGTAGACCCCATACCACCATATCTCCCCCACCCTTAGTGATATACCACATCCCATCATACACACAGAACTAACCCCCATCCCGCCATACACCCTCCCCCCATGTCTCCAAGCCACCTAGCCCTCATCCACACACAGGGGATAGAATCCATCTCTCCATGTCACCCTTCGATCACATTTACAGGGGTGACCCTTTACCCCCATAGGGATATACTCCTTACCCCATCATGCACTGGAGAGCTCCATACACAGGTTCTCCCCCCCATCCCTCTATGCACAGGCACAGCGCCCCCATCCACAGGTCCCCCCATCCCTCCCTCCACGCACACACCCGGCTTCTCACCGGCAATCCATCTGCGATCCTGCTGCCAGAGTAGACGGTACCGAAGCCGCCGCTGCCCAGCACGGAGCCCACCTGGTAGACCTTGTCGAAAGGCTCCTTGTCCGACTTCACTGAAATAAGAAAGGATAAAATGAGCGAGCCGCCACATTACTCAGAGCGCCCCAGAGCCCGGCATCGATGAATGGGATATGTACCTGTCTGGAGGATTTTCACCGGCAGATGATCCATGCTGGTCGGGTTACACATGTGAGCCAGTGAACCAAACTTGGAGAGCAGCATATTTCCAGGTAAATAAGAAAGCAGGATCAAACAGTCCCCGTGTGCCGGCTACTCAGAACGCCCGCTGCCGTCCACCTAGCTGCGTACGTTTTTCCACACACACCGGCTAGGTCTTCACACCAACAGATCCATGGGGGTCGCAGCGAGCCACAGGGAAAACAACGTTAGAAGAAGCCACAAGAATAAATCCACCCGGTGTTCAGAAATGGCAGCCGGCGATAATTGGCGCTGTAAATCCGAAATGTCTGTGAGAAGCGGCCGTATAATCACTCGTCGTCGTCGTCGTCGCCGCCGCCCTCCCCAGCTCTGAGCTCAATTACTGACAGAGCCGCCTCTTAACTCCTAGTATTTTGGTGAAGATCGCAGAATGATATCCCTCCGCCTCAGGGATGGGTAACACCTTTGCCGCAAAGTCTTTTTTCCCTTTCACAAAAATATATATACTCAGCGGAACAAAAACGATTAGGTACAGGCCGCCTCTCCACAACTCCCAACTCCCGTCAAAATGCTTTTATCTCGCGTTCAAACGGTTTGTTTCCACTGTGCACTACTTTACTAGTAGTAGCTAGACAACGCGGAGGACTACCTGTCTGAAAATGTAGCCACGCTCAAACTCGCATTAGCGTTTATTTACATATTTTATGTAGCGGCGCTTTGGCCAATGGCGTTCTCCGTTTAGAGTCCAACATTCTGCTGCAGCCAATAGGCGCATCGGAAGTTTGCATATGTATGAGGTGAAATAGGGGCGGTGGGCGGAGAATGCTGGGCGCGCTTTTTTCCTCATGTTCTAGGCAGCGCAGGGAAAGGTCAGGGAAGCTGAGACGGTACTGCGTCTGAGGAGAGGTGGGGGGGAGGGGGAAGCGTGCTCTGCCAGTTGCACAGTGCACCAAAATCACGATGCTGTCTGAGCACTGACAAGAATATGAACTGCAGTATCAGCAGCCATTTTTAATCATTGTAATTAGCTTCATAGCCAGAACAGTAGCAGTCTGACGCGCCCGCTTGTTCCTCAATAGGGGGTGAGTGATGCTGCTATGTGGCAGCATTTATTACGCAGGCAATGTCCGCCCGATAATAAACTACTAGGAAAATGACCGGCGTTTATGTATTGGTAAAGTGCACCAGGGGTTTGCAGCAGTTCTGTATTTATCCGGTCTTTTTATATAAGGGATTTAATCGCAGTATTCCCGGGCTGTCGTGCCAGACCCTCCCTGTTTGCTGACTGAAATGTCATGTCCTCGGTCTGCCGCTGGGGGCGCTATGCATTCAGTAAACGTGTCCCGCCGTGCTACAGCGCTACTATAAAGCCTGGCATTATACTTACTCGGTGAGGGCTCTCTGATACAAATGTCTCGCATACCTTACGGGGGAAACGCTCATGAGGTCACCCGAGGACAGAAGACTGGAGACTTTTACTATTAAAGAGAAGGCATGTGTTTTATAACCTATCGCCACAATGTCTACATTTTATGTACTCCTGTGAAGTTCACAAAGAAGCAGCTCATGTGCAGAACACATGCTTTCAGTGACTCATTAAAAACATGGACTTAAAAGCTCCTCAAGCACCCTTCTGCATAACATACAACACATTTGACATAGGGCAGTGATGAAAGAAAAACACATGCGCGCTAACAACGTTTTCATTGCATAATGGCTTGTAATGCATGTGAACAGGAGCTGCATTCACAGATTAGTAATGAAAAGGTGAACACGGGACATCCAATGTTGTGCAGCTGAAAAAAGGGAAATTTGCTGAATTTACTCCATGGCAACTCCTATGTGGTTAATCATAAGGAGAGAAAGGCTTTCAAATGTATTATGATATATAAAAATAGGTAAGATTGATTTGCCGACAACCCCCCGGCCATTTTTTTTAGAATATACTTGGGTAATATGCAGGTATCATCAGGTGATTGGACCTTGCCAGAGCTGTGACCTGATATTGCCACTCATCTCCAGGAAATCTTCAGTGTCCTTAGGTGATGGATATCTTGCTGCATTCCTTGCCGATATCCCATAGAAATGTAAATGGGTGCTCGTAGTGACTACGGATGGCGCCGTCAATACAGATACATGTTTAGAAATGTCACCAGCACATGACTTGTGCAATCATTTATTGACACCTATTGACACACTTCCATTTATTGACACCTATTGCCTATTTATTGACATTTATTCACACCTATACCTATTCTGAGGTCATTCTGAGCCTGATGAAGGGGAACCTGCACAGCCCTGAAAGTGCTTGTATCTGAGTGGAATAGGTGTCAATAAATGTACGTTTCCTGATTGCACAAGTCATCTTGGTGTGCTGGTCACATTTCTGAACATGCTTAGTGGTGGATGTCTCCTCCCTGCTGAGGGAGATGTGTGTAGTTAAGTCTTAGCTTTATTGTGTCTTCAGTCAAGATTCTCTAGCTGCGCCCGGCCATGGTGGCGAACTTGCTGATTCTAGATCATCACCCCACAGAAAGAGCCTTTGGGGGCCATATCCAGGCCCCATTGGATACAAGAAGTGGGACTGGCCTATAATGTAGCCGTAGGCACTGGATCCTGTGTGGCACCGTGGCACATTGTGCAGTGCACTGGGTTATCCGCAATGTGTTGTCCAGGGCACTGGCATATCTGAACTGGTTGTGACCCTGGCCCTCCTCTTAAGGCAAGGGTGTGCTTGCCCTAAGTGAATGACGCTAAGATTTGAGCGCAAGTCCCCCACTCCTGTCCCCATGGATGGTGGTACATTGCCTGGTGAGTTTCTTAGCGACCCACCCCCCTGAGTACTCAAGTTGTGCCCGCTGGGCTGTGCTGATCCTTTACATTTTTGGAAAATCGCTGCACTTTACTCTGAAGGGTGTTTCCGCACCCCCTTTGGCCCAAGCGTCTTGTTGAGTCCTGAAGGCTCTGTTAGTCTGGGCATGTCCAGTTAAGCATTCTACAGCCAGAGACAATCTTGGAAGGGGTGGGGGTGGGGCATGAGCTCTGATCTGGAGCTGGAGACCTTTTTTTTTTTTGGACTCCTTTTCCATTGCAAAGTAGAGTGCCTTTCTGAGGTGCAAGGACCACTTCAACCACTAAGGAGAACCTTGTTTAACCCTTGGTGCTGGTATTGTGAGTACCCATTTGGGGCCCCTCGCCATGGCAGACAAAAAATGCGAGAGGCATGGGGGCACTGGGATTACAACCTCTAGCTACTCTCTTGCCCAGCAAACGTTAAACAGAGGATCCGTCACCTACTTCCAGTTTAGGACAAGCTAGGAAGAGTTCTTTTTGTCCCTCTTGGACGTCCATATTTAAGTCAGGCTCATAGCTGTTATGTAAGCCCTGGTCCCCCAGAGTCTGTTGGTCTTTGTGGCCATCTGGGATCAAAATGTCCAGGGCATGTGAGTTCGAAGAATTCTACACCAATCTGTTCATAGTTCCCAAAGTATTTCAGGAGATTCTGGATTGCTCCTGATAAGCTATTCTCTCCAAATTGTTTTTCTGAGCTAGATTTGTTTGAGGAGGCTTTCATTACAAAGTAGACTGTTACTACTATGGATCCAGCTATTTCCTGTCGAAATAAAACACTGACTGGTCTTTTCAGGATACCCCAGTGTTCAAGGATCATTTTGACAAATGTCTAGAGGCTTTTTTCACATCTTTGTTTACCCTAACAGGCCCCACTGTGCAACCTCCCATAGCTGTTATATGATCCTGTCAGACATTGCGGTAATGGACTAAGACAATATCCAAGGAACCCAAAACTATCATCACTGACCATTCAGTTATGAAGTGCTTATAGCTTATGCCTGCTGCATTACACGATTGTGTTGAAGGTTTAGTGAATATTGTCCATCTTATTCCTGTATGAGTCTTCTGTTTGTTAATATGTGGAGGGAAAAAAAAGCCTACTGCAAATGCCCTTTGGTGGAAGACATCTCTTGGTGCTTCTTTAGACAACTTTATTAAATATGTAATTGGCGGGAGAGTACCCTGTTACCTCAGCAAAAGAAGCCCAGACCTCAAACTGGGAAAACCTTTCACACCTCTGAAGCTAAAAAGAGTTCCCTTTGCTTCTTCCAAATTTGTCAGACCTAAACCAGGGACCCAGTTCAACTGAAAACTCTGGGCGGCCTAATATGCCAAACCTTCAGACAAGTCCTCCTCGCAATGAAGGGATGCCCCCATTTTCTAAAGCACAGTGACGTCTGTTGGCCTTTGTGTATGGGTAAAATACGTGGTCTCCAGTGTGCTTAAGCTAGGATTCCAGTTTCTGTTCACTGTTCACTTAAAAGTCTTCATCTGCTTTCGAAAATTGTGCTTGGAATCCACCAGGTACAGTATGTCAGAGCTTCCCCCCCATCAGGGAAACTATCTAGCTTCTGTGGACATCAAGGATGTGTACTTGCATATCCCTATATTTTCATTGCACCAACACTACCTGCGCTTTTCTGAGGGCATGAACACTAGCCCTTTAATAATGTATGTTTGATGGACGTCTTGTATGGTTTGGACACTTTTAAAGCCCCGCTTTTCTTTTCTTGTATATAGCCCTTTAATTTGGTCTGTCTTTTGTAACACAAGTGTAGATAAAATACTGGCTTCAATACTAGCCTTGCTAAGCTCCCAGAGCATTCCCTTATATCACGTACCTGTATGATCTCATTTTCAGGGGGCAGTTGGCACAGACTTTATCAGACAATGTGTTGCAAATTGTCAAGACCCTACAAAGATTTGGTTAGATCTTGAGCCTTAAGAAGTCAGTGCTGGGTCCGGCATTTGGACTATCTGGGTCCCATTCAGGATCCTGCTCAGGCCAGAGTTTTTCCTCCACAAGAAAAACTGCAGATTCTCGGCTCCCAGATTTGGACTCTACAGTCTAGAATCTGTCCAACTTTCCACTTTTGCACAAGAGTTCCAAGCATGATGGTAGCCTGATTTGAGGCAGTCTTGTTTTCCTAATTCCACTCCAGATAGTTGTAACTCAGCATTCTGGCTGTGTGGGAAGATGTGCCCAACACCAAAGACTAGGTTTTCTCTAGTCTATTGGTACAGAAATCCAGCTCTAAAGTTAGAGAAATTCTTTCTTCCAATATCTTGAAAGATTCCCCGGACGGATACCAGCCTGACAGGCTGGGGAGGAGTTCTGAACATCCTATCGGTGCAACGGGAGTTCAACTGCTTGAAGAAGCGCTTCTTACGATCAACATACTGGAGTGCTGTTCAATAAAGTTGTCTCTTTTATGCTTGACCCCTCAGCTACAGGGCCATCTGATCAGGATTATGTTGGACAATGCTCAGACTGTACTCAGCCCTTATCAGACTCCTGGTACACACCCTGTGGGATCTTCCAGATATTGGGTCCCAAGGACCAGTTTACCACCCTGCTTCATGTTTGATAGGTTTGACAGTTTGGTTGTTGAAGCCCAGGGCCTAAGAGATAGGGGCTTCCGATTTGATGATTCCTACACTCTTGAAAGCTAGGAAAAAGTGTAAGGTCTAGCCACAAGGTCTACTATCACAAATGGAAAGCACACTTCGATTGATGCAAGGCAACACATTTTCATCCCAGCAAATACTCTATGGGCAGACTTTGTAAAATTTTTATTGCAATCTGCCCTGGATCGGCATTGACCCTTGCTGTCCTGTTACAAAGAACAATTGCATCTCATTCTTTGGTTGAGTCCTTTGTACAAGTGTATCTTATATAGCCCCACCTGTGCAACCACCAGTGACAAAGTGGGATCTGATTTTGATTCTTTTCTCTTTCCAGATACCAACTTTTGAACCCAGTATCCTCTTTCCTTTCTTATGCACAAGGTTGTCATTATTTGTTATCATCATGTCTGGATGGTGGCTTGCTGTCTGGTCTTGTAGAGAACCATTTTTTTGAGCTTACATAAGGACAAGGTTATTTCAAGGCCCAGCACTTCCTTTCTTCCTAAGGTAGTTTCTGCTTTACACCTCGAGGAGGACAGTGTGCTTCTGTCCCTCTGTCCGGCCCCAGTACATCCAAAGGAGATTTCCCTTCACTGCTTGTATGTGGTCTGTGCTGTGCATGTTTATCTTGCAGCCACTGCTTCCATTAGAAAGTCTGAAATACTAACACATTAGAAATATCACAAACAGCTGTACAATACATTGGTAAAATGCACTTTAATACCTAAAAACTCCAGCACTAAGTGTGTAATACAACATACAAAATGTGCATATGTACGCACCATAAACCACAAGATATATCACAGTGGAAGAAAAAAAACACCCAAAACTGAATTAGTGCCCACAAATCATATACTGTATGTATCAATTATTCCACCTAAACAAGTGTCCAGAAGAAATAAATAATAAAGGCTGCTGTTGTAAAGAAAAGTGTTAAATATGCTGTTGTTCTTCTTTTTGCTTGTTTGGTTGCTCAGTAAAAAAAAAAGTTGTTTTGTTTATTTCATTTTGCTAGTGATGCTTGTTTTTACACAAGCTCCTTACTCTACACCTACCTTCTAAAGGCTGCATGTGTGATTAGGGATCCTGTGGAGATTGCTGCGGCTGACACAATGAGCTGAATGTGGGGCTAACTCTGGAAGGCGTCTCTCAGAGCTGGTGGTACTTGTACATATAGCAGTGTGGATACAAGCCTACTTGTATTTTAGCCGTTAGACTTATTTCACTGTAGGTCTAATAGCAGCAGTGTGTTGCTGTCTACCTTTTTTTGGTTGTGGGAATCTTTTGAAGTCTAATAGGAAGCAGTGGTGGTACGGATTATTCCCTCTACATTAAATGTTTCTACATATGGACATTATATTAGTCTTGGACATTTAGTTTTGGATGGAGCACCCTTTGTATATTTGTCTGCTCCATCTAGGGTGGAAAAGTCAATACATATATTTTTCATTTGATTTCCAAACACTTATTTAGGGGGAACAATTGATACATATATTATTTTTGGAAGCAAATTCCATTTTTGGTTGTAAGATTTGTAAACAGTCAAACATTAGATATTGATTCAAATAATGTCTACAGGTTAAGGTGATATGCGTGAACATTTGCCCTGCGTTCCAGTGCAGTGTGATCACAAAGTATCATGCATGCACTATTTATTTATTATTGGTATTTATATAGCGCCGACAATTGTACACAGTCCACATTAACATCAGTCTCTATTTTGTGCGATCGCACCTCATTGGAATGCAGAGCTTTGCGGTACCACGCCTTCCGGTGTTGGCGTGAGGGATGTCTGTAGTGCCATTGAATGAATGGCACAACCACACCCCCTCCCGCCCCAGAATGCAGAGAGGGTTTGTACATGCAATCCATGCCCTGAACACACTTGATGGTGTGAACGGGCCCTGATAGTTTTCATGCTCTAAATAAATGAAAATGCACATTTTTCATGGATGGAAAAAGTAAGTACACTCCTAAATTTACCACCACTTCAAATCCCTAAAAGTTAGAATTCTAAGAACCTTCTTAGGGAATATGCAGGTGAAACTGTCAAATTTAAACCTCAGCTATATAGGGTCTGCTGTTTTCCTTTAATATGATTGTGTTTGGTGTCATTATGCCAAGATCAATTGAGCACGGGAAAGTCCTCAGAAAGATAGTTGTGGATTCCTATGAATTTGGTAAAATATCACCAAATGATTTGAAATCAATCAATTCCACTGTAGGGAAAAGAATCTACAAGTGGCGTAGATTTATAATCAACTGCTAATTTGTTCACGACCAGCTAGTCTCCAAGAACCCCCAAAGTGCATGCATCTAGTTAGAAAGAGATTACACCTATTCACCCTGAATGAGAGGCGTGTTTAACAAAAAAGCCTTTGCTGTCCAAAAAGAACATCAGAGCAAGATTTTGCCATTGAACACATAGGCAAAAACCAGGACTACTGGAACAATGTGCTGAAGATTGATTTATCAAAGATGAAGTTGTATGGTCACAGTAATAGTGGACATATTTGCCTCAAACATAACACAGTACTTCAGGATAACTGTGAAGCATGGTGATGGAAATCTTTTGGTTTGGGGTTTCTTCAGGGCCTGGGCCATCTGACTAAAAATTGAAGTTGATCGTAAATGGGTCTTTGAACACAATAATGATCCAAAGCACTCTAGCAAATCCACCAGGAAATGGCTCAAAAAGAAGAACCAGTGAGTTATGGACTGCTCTAGTCATTTCCTGATTTGATTCCTATTGACATCTCATAGTGGGAATTGTGCACTATAGGAAGAAGTGATCAGATTGCACTGAGTTGATGCCAGAAACTGGTGGACAGTTATACAAAATGCTTACAAGAGTTCTTTCTGCTAAAGGGGTTAATACCAGCTTTTGATGCTAAGAGTGTACCTACTTTGGCCAAATGACAAGTTAACCCTTGCAGTGGGGCTACCCCCACACTGCAAGGGTTAAGTGCTCACTTTGGTCTAGGGTCCAAAATAGAAAAATATATATTCTCCTGATCCTTGATCCCACCTGGCTGCTAGACTCGTCCCCACAGCCTCTCTTCCCCTCTGCTCCGTGGTGGAACGACCCTCAGTGTCCTCTCATCTAGTACACTGTATGATGACTCACAGGTTATTAGACCAGGTGGAGTTGGTGTTTACAGTCCTCTATGGTAGGACTCCATGTACAGGGCTCAGGGGAAGGAGAGCATGCACTATGGTCTATCCCATAACCAGGATCAGAAGACGGTCTGGGGAGCTCGTAGTAGCTGATAACTAAGCACTGCCTCTATGTCAATGCTACTTGTACAGGGCAATTTACAGTCCTTTTTTTCACCAGAGTGTGTTATAATGCAGTATACCACATTGCAACTCTATGGGATGAATACAACTAAAAAAAATTACCTTTGTGACATCAGTAAAGTTAGGGAGAAAAAAAGCCTATGCTCCTGACACACCGCACAGCAGCGGCTGCATTTTTAGGCAACTTCTGGTGTGAATGGGCCCTAAGGACCTATTGTCATCTTCCCAGATAGCAAGGATAACTTGCCACAAACTTGTGGCAGGGTAAATTGTAATTTTTGTTAACTTGCTGCACACATTCCTGGCAAGTTGTAGACTTGCAGAACACTTGCAGCACAAATTCTAGTTGACAGTTTTTGAATTTGTAGCAAATTTGCTTGGCAAGTCTACAGCAAGAGCCCTGCAGGTCTTAGCAAGAGCTCTGCAAGTGTACAGCACTTTTGCAAAGCACGTTGGTCTGGAGACTTGCAATGCAGACTTGCTGTAATTCTGCAACAAAATTGTGAAGCTTGGCAAGTCTAGCTATAGTTTAGCAAATCGTTTTCAAACTTGCAGCTCAATTGCTTGCTATCTGGGCTGAGACTTATTTCAGCTAATTAAGGGGCAGATATAAATGTTTCATAGGTAAGCCTGCACACGTATGATAATTTGAGACTGAACATTTTGTTTCTTGCATAAACCCAATCATGACTGTTTCTCTTTAAATCTGGGTCTATTAAAGGAGAACTATTGGGGGAGTAAAATACACTCCCCCCAGTACTTAGAGCCGGTGTGAGATACTGCAGCTGTCTTCTGGCTCCTTTCTGAGCACTGAGCGATCATATAAACGGTGATCATTCAGCTCACAGTCTCTTCCCTGCAAATAGCAGTAGCTGTCAGTCATCGCTCTCCGCAGGGATTATCACTCCCTCCTTTGTTCCTCACTGCAGGGACAGAGAGGGGAGGAGGCGGGAATAGCTGGCTCTAGCTCCAGATAGGCAGTGCCAACTGTCAATCAGGCAGCCGGGTGGATCCCGACAATATTGTCGGGATCCTTGCTGGCTGCGGTGTAGCTTTGCGCTGTTAGCCGATAGCAGGCAGTTGTCTACTATATGCTAACTTTGGGTCATTAGAGTACATTAGTAACTACTCCTGTGACCAAAAAGAGAAGCAAAACCAAGAAAAGTTTGGCTTCACTTCTTTTTTAAATTACTTAAATTGTAATCACTGTGATTTGGAGACATCATTCAAATTTTACAACTCCTTGTACCATGTGTGTTCTAATTATGTGCTGGAGCATTTACACCCACTATTGTCAGCATGAATAATAGTAGCAGGAGCTTCCATTGTTGCCCTAATTGATCATTCAATGTCTTTTAGCATTATAAAGGATTCAGAGAAGGCGCATAAGTTTCACACAATTAGTTGATGGTAGAGAATACCTTTAAAGTGACACTAAACTCAGGAGTTAAATCCTTAAATACATTCAAGCACCTTAGCTATTAAGAATACTGTAACTTATTTGTGTATCACTCGGTTGTAGATCCTCAAATCATTTCTGAATTGGTGCTGATACTGTCCTTTCTGGAGGGTGGCTACAATTTGTTCCCCATGGTCCCTGCGTATGTTGTAAAATAGTCACCACTACAAGCTCACTCCCATGATGGACTACAATCTCAGTACAAATGAGTAAACTAAACATGAGATTGTAGTCCATCACTACCCCTGCAGCTTCCCCACACTGGAAGGGTTAAGTGCTTGTTTTGGTGTTGGGGCTGGTTTACAGAAGACATACTCACCTGATCCTCGGGCCTGCAGAGGTGACAGCTCACTTCCCCCTCATCCCCGAAGCTTTTTTCATATTTTATCTTTTAATGGGTTATTTATTTTAATCTTGTTTGGTTTGGCTGGCGTTTTGCTTTAAACCATACCTGGTATGGCAAAGTGTATCTACAAGCACTTCCTTTTCAAAGGGTGACAACACTTAAGGTGGCCATATACCTTACAACCATTGTTCAATTTTTTTTGTCCTGACCGCACCCTCGTTCGATTTCCGTCCAAATAGCCCATCATGCACAGACCAATGTAGTTTGCGATTATCGTTCATTAGCAGAGCTAACTCTACGATTTTTGTCGGTCGACAGAACGGATTTTCGTTTGCGCATGTGCAGTGTTCACGTTGTGATTTTTGTTGTACAAAAACGCCACTAATCCATCGATTTTCGTCCGTTTCGAGTTTTCTAGTCTGCCCATTCAACCAAATATGGCTAATTGTACAGTACAGTAATACCTTGGTTTACGAGCATAATTCGTTCCGGAAGCATGCTTGTAATCCAAAGCGCTTGTATATCAAAGCGAACTTCCCCATAGGAAATAATGGAAATTCAGATGATTCGTTCCACAACCCAAAAATATTCATATACAAATGATTACAATACTGTACTGTAATATAATACTGTACAAAATATAAAGACAAATAAACCAATTACCCATACCTTTGTGGTTGGTGTGAGGGGGACGAGAGAGAGAAGGATTATTGTGTAGGACGACTTTCACTATCACTAACGGAATCACTGCTATCTCTTGACTCAATGGAATCTTTTTCATTTCGTGAAACCTTAACAAGGAATCTATCCAATGTGACATTGTGTTGTCGTTAAACAGACTCATCGCTCACACAGCTACAGCCTTATTCGGGTGGCGCTTTTCTACAAAATTTTGCTCTTATTGCAAGACATTTGCTTGTATATCAAGGCAAAATTTTTCAGAAATGTTTGCTTGTCTTGCAAAACGCTCTCAAACCAAGTTACTTGTAAACCAAGGTATTACTGTAATTGCGATCGTGCACTTCTCATCAACTGCTCGATTATCGAACGAAAACGCGATCATGGATGATTATCGAACGATAATTGTAAGGTGTATGGGCACCTTAACTTAACCTCCCTGGCGGTATTCCCGAGTGCCTTACTGTAATCCATGGTTGTTTCCCTTCTCTTTGCTGCTCTTCCTTTTAAATCTGTATCTGTTCTCATGCTCTGTAGAACTTCTGTTTTGCAGCAGTCTGCCTTGTCTCAGGAATGTATATACGGTGTCTGTGTATAGGTTTGTATAGGCTTCTAACCTGAGCCAGCACTACAGGAAGAGGCCCTGAGCTGAAAAGGGAAGTTCTTCTTCACAAGCATGAGAAGGTATGAGGATTTAAAAGGAAGAGCAGCAAAGAGAAGGGAAACAACCATGGATTACAGTAAGGAGCACATTACAGTATTGTTTTATGTTAAAAAATCTGAGGCTTTAATGTCACTTTAAGTTAGCTGCAGCTTTGGCATCCTTTCCTGTGCTCTCATTTGGCTACAAGCAACCATGACAACGCACAGTTTTGTGTGTTTTTACAGTTCCACCTGGCATGTTCTGCCATAGTCACCACAGTAAAATGGTGATGATTGGCCACCATAGGAGCATGTACAGGTCTACAGGAAGTATTTACAAAAAGTCTACAGGTTGTACATAGGGCAGGGAGAAAAAAACATGAACAAAGAAAACTTTCAAAGAGAGCCTATTTTACTTTACAGTGTTTAACAAAACTAAGGATTCTTTTGTGAGACTTTAGTTCTACTTTCACTGCAGCCGCCTACACCCTAGCAACCAATGATGCTGCACAGCACAGTACAAGGCTGGCTCCAACAGAGGACAGAACTTCCATCAAGGTATTCATCCTCTGTTCAGACCAGACTGCGGAGTCCAAAGAGACGTGCTCAGCCCTTTCTAATCCCGACCTCTTCTTTGCTATGTAGTCCTGCTTCCATGTAGTGGAATGGTATTAAGGTATTTTACACCTGTCGTACTGTCCTGAAGGCTAAAGTGACATTTCAGAGTGGCCCCTGATGTGAAAAGGTAATTGAAGACTCTGATGTCAAGGGGGGGACTGGGGACTCTGATATCAAAAGGGATCCAGATGCAAAGGGGGACTCCTTATAGGAATGCCGGAGTCTGAGGTGAAGCAAGTACTCTAATGAGAAGGGGGGACTCCTGATGTGAAGGGAGGGCTCTAATATGAAGGGGCAACTCCTGATATGAAGGGGGAACTCTGATGCGAAGAGGGACTCCTGATGTGTAGTGGGGGACTCTAATGTGAAGGAAGGAGTCTAATGTGAAGGGGGATGGGGTTTCTAATGTGAAAGAGGGACTCTGGTGTGAATAGTGAACTCCAGATGTGAAGGTGTCTCCTGATGTGAAGAGGGTCTCCTGATGTGAAGCATTGTTACAAAAAAATACTGACCACCAATGCTGGGGGGAGGGGGTTATTTTTACAGCTAGCCATTGACTACCAATGCTGGGGGAAGGGGTTACTTTTACATCTAACCTCTGACCACTAATACTTCTGACCAAAGTGTTTATTGTCTCACCATTTGCTGACTTACTATTTTATAGAGTTCTTCATTAGGGTAGGCTGAGTTTTACTTTAAAAAAATATATTGTGCTGAGGGTTTTGTACGTCTCTATGACACTCAGGTTTTACTTAACCAAGCTCCTTTTAAGACCCTCCCACTAGTAGCGCAATCTGGCTACACCGCCATCTGGTGCCACTTTATCACTGAAAATTTTTGTATAGGGGGGATGTTAAAGAAATATACAAGTGCAGCCGGCTGGGCTATAGCACAGCTCTCCCATGTTGTGGCTTCATGGGGGGCCCCAACCTATGATCTTACACAATAGCCCACTGCATTCAGAAAACACGCAGTTCGTTTGCCCATTTTCTAACTAGTCTGTCATTCTATGATGAGATAATTGGGTTCATTTACCACGTAAATATGTGAGTGAAGGCTTTTCACCTAGCAATGTGTATGTTCTTTTTGCAGGATAGTTGTTTAATAAGGTGAACCTGTGTTCACTTTTAATAGCCAATCTTGTGTATGGGAAATTAATAAACAGGATTTTTGTTAGCACATGATTGTGTATTCAAAGTAAATACAGGCTCTCCTTTTTGTTTTACTAATGTTCACTTTGCAAAGGAAACATACTGTACACTATAACTATACAGTACATAGTAGACATTCACACGTTTGCTTGAACAGCTCTACTCTTATGTCACCCCTATGTCCGACTAAAGTATGAAAGTACTTCGATACAAGTTAGAAAAGTAGGCTCAAGGTCATCTATATAGATACAGTGAACTTTGAGCGCTGTGTTGTACTCACTGTATACTATTGCGGAAAAAAATAGTGTTAAATCAAAAGTATGTCATAAATACTTGAACAAAGGTATAAGTACTAAATTTTGACATATGCAGATTAAAAACTGCTCTTTGCACTTGTGAAGCTGATTTGTCAGTTTTATTGTACATATGATGAGTAATTTCAGCATTGTGCAACTCGTAACGTTTTGTTAGGATGAGAACTAGACTTTATTCCTTGATTTCATAGCTTACCATTGCACAATGCAAATTATGTTCTTCTGTACTTGGTACATATTTTAGAATCTTCTGAAGGATTTTTTCAATAGGTTTGCTGGAAAAATGTATTATTCTATATAGAGTTTTATGCAACATCTAAGTATTTAAGTAAGCTTTATAGAACAGATGTGTAAATATACCATGATCCCAAGGTTACAAACCTGAAACTGAGTTACAAAAGAATATAAGATATCATACAGCAGTGTACTTTTTATGTAAAACCATCATTCTTTTTTTTTAGCCATAAAGCACATTTTTTTTTAGCATTTTTTTAACATATTATTTGTTGCCTAAACCAGTGCTGAATGAATTTAAACATTCAACGGATTCCGGGTTCAGTCTTGTTGAATGTACAACTAGGAAAGTCACACGAGCACTTAAAGTGAGACTAAACTCAGGAGTTACAGTAAATCTTAAAAATGCACTCAAGTACTTTAACTATTAACAAAAATGCATCTTATTTGTGTATCACTCGGCTGTAGATCCTCAAATCATCTCTGAATTGGTGCTGACAATGTCCTTCCTTCTGCCAGCACAAATTCAGAGTTGATTTGAGGATCTACGGC